ATCAGGACCCTTAAAAAATTCTAACGCACACTCAAAATCATTCTCACTCCCAACCCTAACTTCCTTCAGAGGACTCAAAATCAAAAACAGAAAAGGAGAAAGAAGAGCGACACTTCGATTAAATCAAAATCAGAGATTTGTATACCTTACCTGATTTCGATTTCGAAAACTTGATGTAGAAATCCACAAATGATGCAGCAGTTCACGGGCCGGAAGCACACAGTAAAGCTTTTACAGAAATTTTACAGAAAATACAATGAAAGTAAATTTCTTTCTACAGAAAAATGACTATTTATACCTCCGGGCAAAATTAGATCTCAACGGCTGGGATTCGTTTAATCTTATGGTCCTTATTCACGCCATTTCGAATTCAACTGTGTAACCCTAACGGGAGCCGTTTGAATTCGACGGTTCGTTTCCTAATTCCGTTTGTCTGACTGTCATGGTTACTTGTTTCAACCCGTATTAATTGTATATGTCTTTTGACAGATAGCTGTCATGTCACATAATAACCCTACGTCAGACTTTATAAGCGGGCCCACTTAAGCCTAACTCAATACTTCTGTTTACTTTCACAATTATATTTTTAACTTACAAGTGTTTCACTTCGGCTCCGGCCACTGTGACTGTCACATATTTTACTTCGACCCAGGCCATTATGACTCCTTGTAACATATTGTACTACGGCTTTGGCCACTATGACTCCGATTATTACTTTTTATTACGGCTCCGGCCACTATGACTCCGGTCATTACTTTTTATTATGGCTCCGGCCACTATAACTCCGGTCATTACTTTTTATTACGGCTCCGGCCACCATGACTCCGATCATCATTTCTTACTATGGCTCCAGCCACATTGACTCTAGTCACCATTTTTACCACGACTATGGCCACATTGACTCTGGTCACTAGTTTTACCACGGCTATAGCCACGATCACTCCGGTCACATTTTATTTTGGACATGACCAACATGACCCCCTGTCACAACTTCATCATTAGCTACGGCCATACATACATTTGAGTTACAGATTTTTATTTCCATATTTACTTTTGTAACTCATTTTTAATATTTTTGTCTCCCTTCCTTTATGTTTATGCACTACTCCCAGTATCTCTAACAACATCATTCACAAGTGAATGACTTCAGGGGGGGAATAGTGTAAGGACAGGTCCGAGGTGCCCAATCTCGGACGTACGACAGTAATTCCTTTATAACCAGAGTGAAGAATAAATCCAGAGCTTTTCGCTCAAACAGCTGCATGACAGCGACAATAAGCATGCCCGCACCTGATTCCTTATGACAAGCTACACAGCAGTTACGATGGACATTCTCGCATCTAAATATCTCTCAATTTCTCGGTCCCGAAATAACCGTCTGGAAAGACACGTCAGATTCCGATTATCTTGCTTGGCATGCCACGTGGGTTCCTCACTGAAGCCTATAAATACCCTCCAAGGGCCACGTCAAAAAGGTAATTGAAACCATCATAAAGCTCCTTTTTCATTAATCCAGAGATGGACCTGATTATTGCTGACTTAAGTATCGGGGTGTCTACCCTGAGAACTCGGGGCTTTGCAGGTTCATCTGAAGTGAAGACGTAGATTGAAAAAGGATCTCTGGTTTGGTGCAATTACAAAACGAGAAGTATAAAAATCAATCCTTTTGATGGTACTGTAGATCTTCTAAGGAAGCGAGTATGGGAGAAGCGGGTAGAGGAGGAGAAAAGGAAGTAATTAATGATAAAATGAACTATATAAAATAACCAATTTAAAAAGAGAAAATGGGAGGAAAAAGGAGGAAGACAAGGGCTTTTTGGGAATTTCAAATACGTAATTAGGTTTTTTTACTAAATAAAATAATTAATTTATATGAGTTTAGGGTTTATTATTATTTTATACAATGAACATATTAAGTTGCTTAATAAAATTATATAAAATTAATTAATTATTCAATAATATGTAAAATTATATAAAAATTATTAAA